GGGGGGGGGGGGTGTGCTGAAGTGGCCGCAGATGACGCCATTCTCACAGGTCATATCACCATGCGTGGCAACCGGACAGGTTCCCGAAACGTTGCCGCGCATGGTGATGTGACCTGTGAGAATGAATAAAAGGATTTAGTTTTGAAGAAAACCTGGAGTGCTGGTGACCATGTTTCTGTTTTTCAAAGCAGTTGCAAAACACACTGCATTCTGACCTGAATGGGTCCTTAAAGGAAGAGATCTGTTGAGGTACACAGGTGTGACAAAGGAAAAAATAATATATGACAAATATAACCTTGACAGTTATAAAATTAACATTACCCCGAGAGTGTCCTTTCTTAGTGTGAGGATAATTTGTACCATCTGATCAGATTCCCCAATGGCCCATGTCCAATTATCTCAGTGTATAAAACCCTGGTCTACTAAGCTTTGAGCCGTATGTGTGGTGGTGTGTGTGGTATGTGTGTGCCATCTCACTGTAGGTCTTATCTGGTATCAGTTGGCTCTTCGGGGGCAATGATGGATATTATTTGACTTCGAATGTCTGCAGTTGTCTGATTTTTCTCTGGACGTTCAGTTCTCATTAAGACTTTCTTGCAACACTCCAATTCTAATACAGATGAGCAATTTTGCTTTTGTTCTTTTCAGTAAGGACAATTAACGTGTACTGAGAACCACCACCAAAGTGGCTGAATTGACTGTTGACGGTTGCCTTGGGTAGATAGCATCTTGAACTGAGAAAGTCTTCCTAATAAGATAGTCCTCTAGTTCTTCAGACTAAAAGATTGTCACAGATGTTTTCCAGAGTAGATGACGGTGACAATCAGTTTGTAAAATACTGACCAATGCAAAGTTGTCTTCTCCTTCATAAGCAAGACCCCCGGATAAGGCGAGCCTTGTACAAGGAGAGCGATACTCTACGGAAAGATTATTCTCATGTTGGACACTGAAAGTACAATCTTAGTGCTGTTCTGTGAGATGTGGGTGAGGTATTTTGTTTTTGTGGATATTTCTGTATGTCGGGGGTATCCACAACGTTGTCACCTGTCCAGCGAGTCTATTAGTGGGTACCTTAGCCAGCCAGGAGACCTGCTGATTGGAGGCACCTTCACGGTTCATATGGAGAGAAGCTATACTGAAACCAAATTTACCAGACAACCAGAAGTCCTCAAATGCCAGTTGTGAGTACATTTAAATTGTATCTAAACCCAAATCCAAAAAAACTAAGACAGTGCAGCATACCAGATGTGGTGGCTGCATTAGTTTTTATCTCTTTTACTTTCACCTGGTAAACCTGCCAGTAACACACTTCCTGTCCTGGCATTGTCACTCTAGGATAGGTCCTGAGCAGCATTGTCACCCTAGCACAGGTCCTGAGCTGCATTGTCACCCTAGTACAGGTCCTGAGCAGCATTGTCACTCTAGGATAGGTCTTGAGCTGCATTGTCACTCTAGGATAGGTCTTGAGCTGCATCGTCACCCTAGGACAGGTCCTGAGCAGCATTGTCACCCTAGGACAGGTCCTGAGCAGCATCGTCACCCTAGGACAAGTCCTGAGCAGCATCGTCACCCTAGGACAGGTCCTGAGCTGCATTGTCACCCTAGTACAGGTCCTGAGCAGCATTGTCACTCTAGGAAAGGTCTTGAGCTGCATTGTCACTATAGGACAAGTCCTGAGCAGCATTGTCACCCTAGGACAGGTCCTGAGCAGCATCGTCTCCCTAGGACAGGTCCTGAGCAGCATCGTCTCCCTAGGACAGGTCCTGAGCAGCATCGTCTCCCTAGGACAGGTCCTGAGCAGCATCGTCTCCCTAGGACAGGTCCTGAGCAGCATCGTCTCCCTAGGACAGGTCCTGAGCACCATTGTCACTCTAGGACAGGTCCTGAGCAGCATTGTCATCTTAGGACAGGTCCTGAGCACCATTGTCACTCTAGGACAGGTCCTGAGCAGCATTGTCATTCTAGGACAGGCCCTCATCAGGAGTGGCACTCTAGGACAGGTCCTGAGCAGCATTGCCACCCTAGGACAGGTCCTGAGCACCATTGTCACTCTAGGACAGGTCCTGAGCACCATTGTCACTCTAGGACAGGTCCTGAGCAGCATTGTCATTCTAGGACAGGTCCTGAGCAGCATTGGCACTCTAGGACAGGTCCTGAGCAGCATTGTCATTCTAGGACAGGTCTTGAGAAGTATTGTTCCTCTAGGACAGGTCCTGAGCAGCACTGGCACTCTAGGACAGGTCCTGAGAAGCATTGTCACTCTAGGACAGGTCTTGAGCAGCATTATCATCCTAGGACAGGTCCTGAGCAGCATCGGCACTCTAGGACAGGTCCACAAAGGGTGTAGGGGCTTCTTCTCAGTCAGAGTGGTTACATTTTGGAACTCTGCCATAAGCAGTGGTATCAGCAGAGACTATTGATTCATTCAAAAATCAATTAGATTCCTTCCTCAGAGACCATGACATACAGGGGTATAGGTACCCTTAAAAAATAAGACCACACAGGGACTCATATACTCACATGAGCATGCACTACACACACATGTATATAAAGGTAGAACTTGATTGACCTGTGTCTTTATTCAACCTCAAATACTATGTAACTATGTAACATCTCAGTGTCCTGAAAATGTAACAAATATAAACAAGTAGGTAAATCTCTAGTAGCAGAAAGATTTCATTGCCATTGTAGCCCTGGTCCACCTTCGTTGTCTTCAAGAGCTTCGATGGTTACAGAATTTTCTGTATCCTGCACACCTCCAGGAATGTTGGATTCCTGGTCCCCACTAACTATGCAAGTTAAACAGAAACCCAATTCTTAAAGGGCTATTCACAAAAGGTGAAGAGTTTGGAGAAGGCCGGAGAAGAGAACAATCTAGGCCAAAATAGCTGATTTGGAAAAATTCTCCAATTCAGCTTACTTTCCAGTTCAGCGATGTTGTCCTAGATTGTTCACTTCTCCGGCCTTCTCCAAACTCTTCACCCTTTTGTGAATAACCCTGTTAATGTGTATTATGCTTTGTAAATTACCTATTTTTTAATCTTTTACCTACCATGCATTAGCCTTGACCCTCAAAGATTCCAGAGAATGCAAGCCATGATATTTGCCATAGAAGAGATCAACAAGAACCCAGACCTTCTTCCCAATATAACCCTGGGCTACCGGATCCTTGACTCTTGTTCTGTAATCATACGGGCCGCAGGAGGAACCTTGTGGATTTTATCTGGAGGAAAGGAAAGTGTTCCAAATTATCGGTGTGAAAGAAAAGGAACATTTGCTGGTATTGTTGGTGATTCTGGGTCCCCGGGCTCCATCATAATGGCCCAAATCTTAGGACTTTACAGATATCCACAGGTAAAAAAACTAACTTTTCTTAAAGTTGATCTCTAGCCACCTTAATATAGTTAGAATTCCAACCAGCTTCCTGTATTGACAGCCAATGCAGGCCAGCAGGAGGAAGCCTGTGACCACTGTGTCCAGAAGCCAATGTGAGATACAACAATGCAGCCTCCAACAGGCCCACTTTTCCCATTCACAGCAACATTACATTTACAGAGCATGTTACATAGTTACATAGTTAGTCAGGTTAAAAAAAAAGACACAAGTCCATCGGGTTCAACCTAAAGGAGGTGGTGGACTTTAGTAAGTGGGAAGTGCTTGGCCATTGAGTTTTTCTAAATGACTCTCTGAGACCAGTGCCTGTGTCACCCCTCTGCAGCCAGACAGCTAGGCAGGATCCAATTGCTGAACAGAAATGCAAGCCACTGAAAGGTAAAGGGCTAACAGAGCTTTGGGAGGTGGTGGTGGGAGGGGGCGAGTTCTTTGGTTTTACAGGTAGACAGAATTCTGCTCGAGGGCAGGTTCACACCATTTTCCAGACCAGATCTGGTCTGAAAAATGGTGTGACCCTGCCTGCAGTTCCAGTGCATTCCAGACCAGACAAAACGAGACATGCAGTATTCTTCTGGTCTGGTCTGGTCTGGTCTGGAATGGACGGCGCTGATGTGAACATAGGCCATAAATAGCATAGGGATACATAAGGATGCATTTTGGGTCCGGAGACAATCTGGTCTGGTCTGGAGATGTGGATGTGGAGTGAATGGGCCCTTAAAGTTGAACTCCAGGCAGACATTAATGCAGCTCTGTGTTCATTAAATGTATTTAATAAATGCAGGCAGTGTAAGTACCTGAATTCGGTGTAGTAGCAGCCTCTTGTAATTGCCTGTGCTGCAGACAGGGCCGGATTCCCGGCAAGACCACCGAGGCCCGGCCTCGGGGCGGCACTGAGCAAAGGGGCGGCACAGGTTTGAACCAACCGACAACCGGAACATGGAGTTCCGGGCGGTAATTTGTTTTCTGCATTTAGCTCTGCTTTGCACAAGCAGGACTAAATGTAGAATAGGAGAATTCACTTGTTTCTTTACAAGTGTTCTCGGCGATGTCGCCGAGAACACTTGTAATTAGACTGCAGGGCCGCCCCCCTCCTTCCCCTGCACTTACCTCTCTACATGCTGCGTCCTCCCGGCTCTGTCTCCTGGCTCCGTCCTCGCCGCCGTCTTCAGTATGGAGAGCGGTGAGCAGAGCGGCAGGGTTAAAAGTAACCCTGCCACTCCGTGTAGACAGTGAGAGGGGAGAGCAGTGCTGTGCTGTGCCGTGCTCTTCCTCTCTCACCTGCCACAGGAGTTCCAGCACAGTACTGTGCTAGAACTCCTGTATTGGAGGTGGCAGGATCAATGAAGAGAACATGTCACCTCCAAATGCTATCACACATTGACTTGTTAGCTCCTGTGTGATAGAGGTGCCTAGCTGAACCAGAATGACATCACATTCTGGCTCTCGGCACCTCTACAGGGTGTGCAAGGGAGCTGTACAAGCAATGCACATATGGATGGAGCTCTGTCACAGTACAGCAGTCCACACTGGACCCCAGGCTAAGGATCCACTCCAGTTCTTATGAGGTAGGGATATTGGGTGGATCTTTAAAAAATTACTTTTTTTTTGGAGTGTGTATGTGTGTGTCTGTGGTTGTGTATGTATGTCAGTGTTTTTGAGGACCCGTTCACATTAGTACAGTGCGTTAATCGCACAGTCCCGTGTGATTAACGCACTGTACTTCGCAATCGCACCAACCACGCGTTTTGGTGTGAGAAGTGCATTGCAGTGCCATTTTGGCACACCAAATGCACCTCCCTCTCACAGTTCTATTGCCCGCATCGGAACGTGCAGTACTGCAATACCGTGCGTTCCATTGCAGTGCAACTTGGGTCACGACTTAATGACCGAGGACAAATGTGGGTCCTGAGGTTACACATTTTGAGAACCACTGCTTTAGATCAAACCTTTTTTGTTTGTGGATATTTGGGATCTATCCAACCTAATAGGGTTCCTCTCACTGTTGTTTATTTATCTGCAGATAAGTTTTTCCGCAACCAGCCCAACTCTCAGCAATAGAAAAATGTTTCCATCTTTCTTTCGCACCGCACCTAGCGATGCATTTCAGTCCCAAGGACTTGCTAAGCTAATCTTGTATTTTGGTTGGTCATGGGTTGGGTTTGTAGCCAGCGATAATGACTATGGACAAATGGGTCTCCAGGTGGTCAAGCAAGAATTCATAAATGCTGGTACTTGTGAAGCCTTCACGGAGACAATCATGACCAGTCAGGCCAACAGAAATGCTCCTCACATTGTCAAAGTAATCAAGAACTCGACAGTTAAGGTTGTGGTAGTGGTGTCCTCTAACGTGGATTTTCTGCCTGTTGTAGAAGAGTTGGCAAGACAGAATGTGACTGGTAGAATCTGGATAGCCAGTGAATCGTGGTCAACCTCTGCTCTTCTTTCTGAAGCAAAGTATCGGCAAGTCTTGGTGGGCACTGTTGGGTTTGCTGTCCATGGAGGACAGATGCCAGGATTCATGGATTACCTTCACAGCTTACACCCATCAAAAGCTCCCAATGATTCTTTCATAGTGGAGTTGTGGGAGCAAATATTTTCATGCAGATGGACCAACTACCAGAATTTAGGTGGTGGTACAAGTAACAAAACTACGCATGACTGCACCGGAGAAGAAAATCTGGCGAAAGCAAAGATGAAAGTTGCTCTAGGAGTAACTTTTAATGTTTACACTTCAGTTTATGCGTTTGCATGGGCCTTTCACAGTCTGCTTCACTGCCAGCCAGGAAAAGGCCCATTTCATAATGGATGCTCAAACATGTTGTCATTTTACCCTTGGCAAGTGAGTTACCTTTCATTTTCATTATGTCACTTTAATCTAGCTCTACTGGCTCCTTGGAGCAGGTGGTGGTAGGAAAATATGACTCTAGCTCTACGGATGGGAAGATCATGAGGGTAGACAGTGCGGCCATTGTATGGGATGATAATGATACCAAGGTATGGTTGCACCAAATTACAAATAGATTTATATCGTATATAAGAAATGTTTGACCAGCCAAAGGACTTTCTGAACACAGTTTTGTGATGTTAACACCACACAGTTAAGTCTTCTACTGCAGTTACAGAAATACTTGGTAAAGATGTCTGTGAAGGTTCTCATTCATCCAGGTCCTGGTATATCTGTAGAAAATAAGCCAAGGCAACTGGACCTGCTGTATTTTTCTTGAAGACGTTTCACTGGTCGTCCAACAGCTTTCTCAATTCAGAAGTCTTTAAGAAAAATACATCAAGTCCAGTTGCCTTGACTTATTTTTTACAGATATACTTGGTAAAGAACACACACCCAGCCTGCAGATCGGACCATGAAGCAAAATCAGTACAGTGATCAGTAGAGTTGATCCTCAAATTCAGACCACTTAGATTTGGACCAGATTTGATAAATGCAGGTGGCCCAAGTCATATTCAAATCTCAGTGTTATTTTGGTAGTTCAATTTCCCAAAAGTCACCCCCCATCACCCCCCACACTTACCTGTCAGCGACACTCGTCCCTGCCGCCGGTCCCGAAGTGATCCTCCGTTCCCTGTGTTTCCTGGTTGCAGTGGGAGGATACTGATGGCAGAGAAGCCATTGGCTCCTTCTGCCATCAATCAAAGAGAGAAGGGGAGTTGCCTGCCACAGGGCTGTGTGTGTCTATGGACACACACAGCCACTGCAGGCACGAGGGTGCCTCCATTAGAACGATGGTGGCACCCGTCGAGGGGGCGGGGGGAAGAGCGCTGCGGGGACCCACTAGAAAACTAGGAATTGAAAACTTTTAAAGAAAAAGAGCAACATTCCCTGGCAAAGATGGGTGTCCTAATAACAACTATTTAAAAAAAAAAGGTTTAATATCGCTTTAATAATAACCCTAGGAGCACCATCCCAACTGTAACCCATGGTGTGTCCGGGTTTCTTACTCTTCCTTGTCCACTTGAGCTGCAGGTTCCACTTCTGTGCAGTGTTTCTGATACTGACTGTTGTTCCTAGATGCTCTCTTATGACCAAATCTGTAAACTTCATTATTCTGCGACTACTTGCAAACTCCTGGCAACTAGGCTTTGCTTCTGCTGGTGCCTAAGCACCCTTAGCATGACTGCAAGTGCCACCAAGGGCCGCTCCTTTTATCTTTGTTTTCCAGATATAACCCCCAACCTGTAACTAACCAGAGGCAGGGCCGGTGCTAGACTATTTTACTATTTTGCACCCTAGGCAAGACCAGCTACTTGCACCCCCAGCCCCCCTCCTGTGGCCCCCCCAACCCCGCGCGGCTCCATTCTCCTACTGGAGAAGAGGAGATGAGGGCAGCCTGCCTGAAGCTTCAGTTTTTAAATCTGGCTGGTGCACTGGGTCACCCATTATTTGGATTAGCCCAGTTGCTAAAGCCATAGGCTGTGCAGTCCAGGTACTATCAATTTCATCCTTTCTAGGTTCTAAGGAAGGTAGACACTGGTGAGCTGTACAAAGTAGTCATGTGACAAAAAGGTGCCACACACAATCACATAGGGTATGTAAGCATATAGTGTATACATACCAGAAGATGGTAATGTGAGAGGCCTTCCTGACTTTAACACAGTTGCAATATTTTGTGTGCATTGGAAACAGACATATACGGAAATCTACCTTTCACTGCATCACTTTCTTTTTATTGTTATAAAGGTTCCACCATCAAAGTGCAGCTCTAGCTGTCCACCAGGATTTATGAAGGTGGCCATCCCTGGAAAGCCCATCTGCTGTTTCCAGTGTTTGCCGTGTCCTCAGGGAGAGATTTCCAATGAAAAAGGTGATCTTAATTATTATTTGTGGGTTTTCATACATCATTAAAGCTGTAATGTATGACAATATCGATTTCCACCTTCTGTAGATGCTGTCAGGTGCCACCCTTGCCCCTGGAATATGTGCTCCAACCTTCACCAAGATGCATGCATGCCAAGGGTCACTGAGTTCCTCTCCTACAGTGAAGTAATTGGCATTATCTTGGCTACCATTGCCATAGTTTCCTCTGTTGTCCCACTTGGAATCCTTGGAGTTTTCATCCATTACAGGAGCACACCAATAGTGCGAGCCAACAACTGGTCTCTCAGCTGTCTTCTGCTCATATCTTTGTGCCTCTGCTTCCTTTGCTCATTGGCATTCATAGGACAACCACAACCAGAAAAGTGCCTTCTCCGCCAAGTTACATTTGGTTTGGCCTTTTCACTGTGTATCTCTTGTGTCCTAGCCAAAACTATTACAGTTGTCATTGCCTTCAAAGCCACCAAGCCTGGAACCCAGTTAAGAAAATTTACAGGGATAAGAATGTCCTATTCACTCATTACCCTTTGTGTACTAATCCAAGTATCCATCTGTGTGACTTGGCTTTCTTCCTCGCCTCCTTTCCCTGAGTATGACACTCAAACTCAGGCAAAAATGATTATTTTTAGTTGCAATGAAGGTTCTCCTATTGCATTTTGGTCCATGTTGGGATATCTTGGACTCCTAGCCACCATCAGTTTCATCATCGCCTTCTTGGCCAGAAGATTACCTGACAGCTTCAATGAGGCCAAGTTCATCACCTTCAGCATGCTGGCCTTCTTAAGTGTCTGGGTATCCTACATTCCGGCCTCTCTCAGCTCACAAGGGAAGTACATTGTGGCCACAGAGATCTTTGCCATCTTATCCTCCAGCTGGGCTCTAGTTTTTTGTATTTTCCTGCCGAAATGTTTCATCATATTGTTTCGACCAGATATGAACTCTAAAGAACATCTGATGAGGAAAAACCATGGTGGAGATAGAAAATATTAACATTAATTTTATACAATACTGCAGTTATGTTGTCGTGGAAATTCTCCTTCATCAGTGACCTCTTGGTAAACTATATATAAATATTAGAATAATTTTTTTGTCATTTTTTAACTCCATATTCAAACTTTTGCTTGTCCTGCAGAATCTGTTAATTGCAACATGTGTTTTCTTAATCTTAATTTGGAATGGGAGGGTCGGCCTTTATTATGACCACCTTGTGTAATCTCACTTCTGTAATGATAATAACTGCAATCCCCTGAGAAAAGAACAAGTCTTAAAGTAGAATAGTGGCCTGGCTATAGATATTAGATTGTTACAGATGTTACATTGTAATCAAACAGTAAAGGGTTTTTAAAACAAGCACTCATTGACCTTTGTAGCTGCAGGCACGGGGGAGCAATTTATCCTCAAAATGTAAAAAAGCACTTTCATTTTTTTTAACTTTTACTTAGTTGGTTCTCTTCCCCTTCCTCTCCTCATAGTGCTGCTGATCTCCTCTCCCTACCCTCTTCACAGTGCTACTCATCTCCTCTCCTCCCCTCCCCTTCCCATGGTATCGCTCCTCTCTTTCACCTCTCTTCTCCCAAGCATTGTCTCCCTGTGAAAGCCAAACATTTCTTCTATGTGCCTGCCATGCCATGCCATGGTGGTGTCGGGGAGCATTCAGCATATGGGTGCGTGTCTGCTTATCCTTAGCAATCAATGAACATCTTTAGCCCACTCACTTTCCAGAATATTCCAAACATACAGCACATTGTAATACGAAATGTGACACTGTCTCTGGTGAAACAGCTTCACTGGTACTGGTAACTGCGGCAGCATTGTTGTTCTGCAACATGAAAATGGTTATAAACTGGATATCTCTACAGCTAAGCCCGTGATTAGGTGAAATGCGTCAGAAAAAAGGTTGGACCTTGGGCAGACCTTGGACGGGACACCAGTGATGTGCTATAAGCTTCAATAAACTATCCCAGTGGAATCTGGTGTGCGGCCAGCTTTTCTTCTGTCTGTATGGGTTCATAGTGAAGCAAGGACATGCTCCCAGTGGCAAGCTCCCAGCTCATTCCTTTCCTATGCCGTGGAGGAGCGGTGTCTCTTTTGTGTGTTCTCCATGACACCGAATATGAAGCACAAACTTGGCTATGATTCATTTCATTTACTTATAAAATGGTATTGTGCCAATTAGGGATGCACCGATACCGTTTTTTCAGTATCGAGTATGAGTACCGATACTTTGCTGATACCGAGCCAATGTTCAGCATGGAGCCGGCTTCCCAGGCAAACAGGAATCCGGGTGGCAGGTCATTACTCACCACCCGGCTTCCTGATTGTCCGGGAAGCTGGCACCATGTTCCCCTACGGCACTTCCGGCACCAATACCAATGCTAGTATCGGTATTGGTTCATCCCCATGTCAACATTACAGAATCACATCCTCCAGCACTATCCACTCCATAACGTATAAAATACTCTGCTCCTGAGTTTCTCTCAATGAACTTTTTGGGAAAGTCGAAGTGTATGTCTTGGCAAAATTAAAACATATTCATTACAGCTTCTGCAATAAATGCATTCAGTATTTCCCCATGGTTTGCCTCTTTAGAAATGCTGCAAGTACAGAAAGATACATATAGATCCAGTGGCGTAACAATCGCCATAGCAACCCAGGCGGCCGCTATGTGGCCCGGGCACAGGGGGGCCCGGCCAGGTCATCCCTCTGATGCCGTGTGGGCCGCCTGGGTCGCTATGGCATGTAAGGGTGCTGGCTGTCACTGACATAGCTCAGCAGCGGTGTTTCCCCTCACAGCCGCTGCGGAGCTGTGTCAGTGACAACCGGCAGCTACGGCAGAGTCAGCGTTCGCAGTGAAGAAGGAGGCGGGGCCCACCTAAGAGCAACCCCGCCTCCTCTTACATCACTGGCCAGCGACCTAAGAGCACGTGGGGCCAGTGTTGTAAGAGGAGGCGGGGACCGTCGATAGAAGAGGAGGCGGGGCCCAGGGATGGAGGAGGAGGCGGGGCCCGGCGACCACGGAGGCGGACAGCGCTGACAGGTAAGAGGTGTGCAGCCCATCTGAGACCCTGCAGAGCCCACTATAGAGAGTCTATGGCGGGTTCTGCAGGGTCACTCTCAGGTGGGCTGTTTGGTATATCAGGTGGCCTCTGCAAGTGGCATAACTTGTAATCACGGGGCCCCATACAAAATTTTGCTATGGGGCCCTGTGATTTCTAGTTACGCCCCTGTATAGATCCTTCCAGAAAATCAGTAAACGTATAACTCTCTGTACTCAAATAACAACTCTGCCTCTGCTGCACCAATATCCCAAGCAGTGTTGCAGGTTCTGCCCCGTTCCCCCCTGCTGGACTCCAGAACACCTACCTCTGATGTTATGGATATCAGGAAAAGGAGATACAAGAGTATTAAAACTTACCAGTCTCACCCTCATTGACTACAACTTTTGCTCTTTGCATCACCGGCCATTGGATTCTTTAGTATCCAACACTTCTGGGTGAAAAGCACCCACCTCATAGTTCTCCTTTAATGAAAAAAAAAATACCATTACCAGTGAAGCTGTTTTACCAGAGACAGTGTCACCATTCATGATTACAACACACCGTTACTACTTTTTTAAATTTTTGATCACTTTTCAGGTTATAATAAAAAAACACAGCAGGCTTTTTGTTAAAATGATGTGCCAAATGTAAAACCTTATATGGACTACAATCTCACGTTTTCATTATGGGTCTCACTCCCATGCTGGACTACAATCTCACGTTTAGTTTACTGATTTGTATTGCGACTGTAGTCCATCCCGGGAGTGAGCTTGGAGCGGTGACTACTTTACAACACACACAGGGACCATGGGGAACAGAAGTAGTCCCCCTCCAGAAGGAAGGACAGTGTCAGCACCAATTCAGAGATGATTGGAGGATCTACAGCCGAGTGATACACAAATAAGATACATTGCTGTCACTAGTGCGGGCCGCCTGGGTCGCTACGGCATCTAATGCTGGTGGGTTTCACTGGTGGCTGTGAGAAGAATGCGCTGCTGTTTAGATCACTGACAGTGATCGGTGCAGCAGCGCGTTTTTCTCACAGCCGCTGCGGAGTTAATGAGAGCCAGCGGCGGCGGTGGAGCAGGCTGGAAACGGCAGTATTAAATAGTGTTAAGAACCCATTCATACCACCGCCAGATCACCTCCAGACCAGACCAGATTGTTTCTGGACCTAAAGTGCATTCCAATGTTTCCTTATGCTCTTCTTGACCTCGGTTCACACCATCGCAGTCAGTTCCAGACCAGACCAGAAAAATACTGCGTGCCACATTTTGTCTGGTCTGGAACCATGATGGCTGAAGTGGACATCAAATTATTTGTAAAACTTGGGGAAGCCTGCCCAGAGCTGTATGATCCAAGGCATGGGCAATATAAGAACAATAATAGGAAGATGGACAAGTGGAGAGGCATTGCTGCCCAGGTTGTCCTGGGCTATGATCATTTGAGCAGCTCTGAAAAGAACAACTGTGGTAAGTTCATGTCTGTTATGTGCAAGCATTGCGCTGCTCTTTTCCTGGCCATCTGTAGGTCTTGGAGACGTCCCCCAGCAAGACCTAAAATTGAATGCGTCAAAAACACGTTAAAAATGCAGCAAAACGCAACGCAGTGCGTTCCAGATCTGGTCCAGAAAATGGTGTGAACCTGCCCTCAAGTTCTCTGCCTGACCTCACATAGCTGCACATTCTGAAGATGCCGTGTCAAGTCAACAAGATGATAATCTACTATCAGTCTTCGGTTGACCTCTGACCCTCTGCCTCAGCAATGGCAGCTGAATAGAGCTATTAGAATGCAAAGTTTTCATGCAAAGTTTTATAATATTCAGCTTTTATATGAAAGAAATAAAATCCTCTATGGACATTCGCCTCTAACACAATATTTTCATGTCTTCATATCCATATCATATTTCATATTTATCTGAGCCTTGATCTCAATCAGAATCCCAATCACCATCATCTGTCCTTTCCTCCCAGAGGTCCAGGCTGGAGAGTAATGAGCCGGCGCTAAGCCTCTCCCCGGTCTCTCTTCAATTACACAGATGTGGAAGAGGATAATTAATGTGCAATTAACACAATATGTCTCACTGGGCAGCTCACTATATAAAAGAGCCAGCACCGTCTACTAATCTACAACGGGGGAAGAGAGCTGAGGGGCTCTATAATACTCTCTGTCTAAAAAGTAAATCATTATCTACTGGAGATCACTCCTCATCCCCCATTCTATTATTCTTTCTTTCTCCTTCACCTCTCTTTTAGTCTGTGTATCTTCTCTCTCTTCTTAACCTCTTCCCTCAACCCGTCATTTCTTACTAACTTATTATTGTAATTCTCCCTCAATCCTTTTCTTCAATGTTTAATGCTATCCCTTAACTTTTCCTTCCTTCCTCTAATCCCTTCCCTCTTGCTTCCTTTCCTCCTTCTTTCCTCCCATCCTCCCTTTCTTAATTCTAATACCATCATAACTTCCCTTCCTTTCCCTCTCTCTGTTTTTCTATCTCCCCACTTTTCCACACTCTTATAGTATCAATTTGTATTCTTTCTTCCTTCCCTATTTCCCTCCTTCCTTACCTTCTTCCTTCCTTCCTTCCTTCCTTCCTCTATACCCTTCATACCCCAACTCATGCTCCCTCTCTCAATTTTTTCCCTCTCTCTTGCTTCCTTTACTCCTTCCTCCCCTCCATTCTTACATTCTTCTCTTTTTCTAATCCCATAGTAGCTTCCCCTCCTTTACCTCTCTCTGTTTTTCTTTCCCTCCACTTTTCCAGACCCTTACTTCCTTTCCCTTCCTTCTCTATCTCCCTTTCTCTTCAACTCTCTCTTTCTCCCTTTGTCTCTCCATTTCCCTCTCTTTTTCCTTCTCTCCTATTGCTTTTTTCCCCCTCTTTCTTTTCCCTACTGTTTCTCCTTTTTCATTCTCTTTATTAGATGCAACTTAGCTCTTCCCTACATTACAAATCCCGCTCCTCTTCCATAGTAATGTTGGCCCCTGTTGCCCTGGGCCCCCTGGAATTGTTGAGCCAGTTTCTGTCTTGTCACAGACTGTTCTGTGCCCTGCTCTTAGCCTGGTTCCTGATTCCTTGTGCTGGTGAGAAGAAGGCATGCGGACTTCCAGGCAGTGACATCACTGGTCTTTATCGGACTGGTGACATCATTGTCGGTGGTATCTTTCCCATCCATGTATACAGGACATACCATGCACTGACCTACAGAAACCCACCACCTCGTGTGACCTGCAACACGTGAGTAAATACCCTCATTATGATCCCTATAATACTTGGGAATGCATCTCTGTTATGTCATCCATGAGCTATTAGTCAAAAGACATTACTGGGTCCTCAGAACAACTGCTGGCCAATGCCATAACCAAGAAAGAAAGTGCTGAGCCAAATGCTGGGCCAGGCTTTACATCTAGAATGCTTTTCACATCCATTGGGTCCCCAGCACCCCGCCAGAGAGTTAGGAATGTGGATGGAACTCTGTCGAAATATTGAGGTGCACCGCATGCTCTCCAAGAATGAAAAGGTGGGAAGCAACCTGGCGAAGATAAAATGAGAAATGTATGGAGTTTGGCTAACCTTGTCAAGTATGTAAACAACCACCAATCTCATTAACAGACAGTTCTATATTATACGTTAAAAGCAGCCTATGACTAGCACCAGAGTCCCGAATATTATTATGGTGCGTCTGCTCTTCTTGACTGGAAATGTCATGAGGGTTCAGGGTCAACTGCAACCCATCTGGGCATATCCCTGTTCTTTAGGTGTTAGAGCTCTGCTTGCAAAGGCAATAGGCTGCTTTTCTTGCATTAAAGGGGTTCTAAACCCTCCGGTCTTTTTGCATATATAAGGCTAGCAAGCAGTAGATATATGCAAAAAGTTGTTTTTTTTTAAACGCTTTACCAGCGGTTTAAACTTACCCCGTTTTCGCTGCGCGCTCCCGCCCAAAATCCGCAAAGCATCTTGGGGCGGGCGCATGCCCAGTTCGGATTTTCGGCCGGGAGACGAGCAGAGACGCAAGGTAAGTCTATGGACGCGTGCACCCGCATGCAGACACCGCTGGATCGGAAGTGCCAGCAAGGACAGAGGAGTCAGCCTCCGCACCGCTGGAAGGACAGATGGAAACATCAGGAAAGAAGAAGAAGAAGATCGGATTAAGAGACATCATTTAAGGTAAGTGCTGACATTAACATTGGGGGGAGGGAAACATTTTTTTGACTTTAATGTGGCTCCTATGTCTGTTCCAAAAACATCACAGTGTACTACCACTCTTTCTTCTGGGTACAAGTATTTGAGAGTGGCTGTGTCTGCATTAGCCCTTTTTTCACTGCCACTGCCTGGAATGCTGCTGCGTCTGTCTTCTTTCTCTTAAGCCGGTCATACCCCTATAGATTATCTGAAGATTTTCTATGGTCAGATGGAAAAAGTGCAACAGATTCCTCCATCTACTCTACACTATGTGGATGGAGGAATCTTCCAGTGGGCCAAGCTTCAGTATCTTGCTAGTCGGCTCCGCTGGCTCTCAAAATACCTGAATAGTGCCTGCCTCCAATCAGATTGTTCAGGTATTTTGAGAGCCAGCGGCGCCAACTAGCAAGATACTGAACCTTGGCCCAGTGGGAGATTCCTCCATCCTCACAGTTTAGCGTAGATGGAGTCTGCAGATAACCTATAGGTGTATGGCCAGCTAAAGCCTTGCACATATTAGATGCTTACATATGGTCAGAGAAAAAGTGCAACAGATTCCTCCATGTACGCTAAACTGTGTGGATGGAGGAATCTCCCACTGGGCCAAGCTTCAGTATCTTGCTAGTCGGCCCCGCTGGCTCTCAAAACACCTGAACAGTGCCTGCCTCCAATCAGATTGTTCAGGTATTTTGAGAGCCAGCGGCGCCAACTAGCAAGATACTGAACCTTGGCCCAGTGGGAGATTCCTCCATCCTCACAGTTTAGCGTAGATGGAGTCTGCAGATAACCTATAGGTGTATGGCCAGCTAAAGCCTTGCACATATTAGATGCTTACAGAATTTGAAAAGGTAATTGTTGAGAACATCCAGGAATAGCACCACTCCACGCACATCTGTGGGAGTACACATTTCTTCTATGGCTTGCACTTTTTCTGAATTAACTTTCAAACCATTTGAAGTTAGCAGATCTCCAATGTATGAAACCTTTTATTTTTATGTTTTTTTCTCTACATTGGTCCAAGAATTGTATCTTCTGATCATGATCTTTGGTCGCAGATTCCAGTACTTCCCCCACTTATGAGTATATCATCTGCTATTATTCCATCTATTGTTTGATTTAGCTTTTGTTGAAACCTTCTAGTGCAGGATTTGCACTCAATGGCCGTCTAAGCCATCGATAACATCCAAATGGATTAGAAAATGCGCTCAAATAACTTGTACAATACATATCAAAAAGATTCTAGCTTTTACCAAATCCAGCAAAACATCTTCTATTGTAAGCATGGGGTAGTGGCTCCTTTTTAGTCCTTTTTTGTGGTTTGGGGTACTTGCACATACGTAGTTAACCAAACTGCTTATTCAGCCAGTCCTTTTGTGTACTGGTAATATAATGCATCTGGCCTGTAGATTCTTCACTTCAGTGGTTGACCTAATGATAAAGGAGCTCATTCTGTTGGTAATCTGGTGGGCTCTAGTGCTGAATCAATTTCGAGTTTTCCAGGCACCCATCACCATTATGCAGACTAGATAAGTCTGCATAATGTGCTTGGATAGGAAATAATAGGCCATAAATCCAAATGTTGTTACATAGTCAGGTTGAAAGAAACAAGTCCATCGAGTCCAGCCTATAGAGGTTGTTTTGTTTTGAAGTTTTAGGACTCTTGGAGATATTAAATGTTAATGCAGAGCAGATATAAAGGACACAAGTTATTGCTGCCCTGTATTAATTAATTTATTTTTTCAATGCAAGCAGTGTAAGTACCTGAATTTTGACCTTGTATGAGCCTCTTGCAGTCCCTGTGAAGCAGAAATAAAAACCGCCCATTTCTGATATAGGACCCACACTTTGTCTGGACATGACAAGCTCCTCAAACTACCAATATCTATCAGGTTTATTCAATAGTGAAAGTGTGATTGGTCACCATGAGTTACTGTCTATCCCATGTCTCTCTTTTCCAGCTTTGTTCCCCTTACCTTCCAGTGGCTTCAGTTTCTTCTCCTGGCAGTGGAGGAAATCAACAACTCGGCTTCCTTCCTCCCCAACCTGACTCTGGGAGTACATTTGGCTGACTCTTGTGCTTCTCCAGGAGTTGCGCTAGAAGGAGCTTTGGGCATCCTTACTGGGGGAGGTTACCGCTCTGTACCAAACTACCGCTGCCTCAAAGAGTCTACCCCACTAGGAGGAGTGATAGGGGACTCCAGCACTGCTAGCTCATTGGCTATGGCCAGAGTGTTGGGATTGCACAGGTACCCCCAGGTATGTGTTGGCATAGGGATTACTCAAAGTGGCTATAAATTGATTGGGAAAAAAAATGGAAATTCTTTCTCTGATTGGAGCTGCGTTGTGTAGTAATATTAAAGGGTCTTAAATGCCAACAGGTCCTTAGAACTTCCAACATGCATGCATATAACAGGTTCTGGAACCCTGGATTGGCACATTTTTATTGTGGGTCAGTTCCTCAGGATAACAGATCAGGAGCATGCACGCTATGTCACTGACTAATATTCTTAAAGGAAACCTGTGCTTAGAAAAACATGAATGCTGTCATAGCTGAAAAAATCTTGATGCTTTACTCCAATGTTCCTCCTTTAACTTCAGTAATTTGTAAATCACAAGAATTCAGAATCACAAAGAATCCCAATGACCTTCTGAATTACAAGGCAAGAATGCGATTCAGGATTTTCTAAGTTTGCTCTTACTTTTCTTGTTGCATGCTTGTTCCAGGCCATTGACTCAAAAAGCACCATAGAGAGACAATCAGCATGACAGACAATGACAGACAATGGTCTAGTATTTTCAGGAGGCAGACTCCATATTTTTCTTTGTAGCAGTCAGCGCTGGCGGATCGGAGCGGGGAGGGGGGAATCCAGCCCCTCCCCTGTCACGGCTCTCTGCAGTGACAGGATCGAGAGGTGAGCGAACGCCGGTATGTGTTCACTCACCTCCCAATCTACTGAGCCGACCTGTGACAGTCTCATTGTCACAGGTCGGCTAGAACTATGAGGTGAGTGAAAAGCACTCATCTCATAGTTCTCCTTTAATTCTTGACAGGTCATAAGAGGTGCTCTCTACTTAATACTTGACACATCATGTAAGCGTGCTCTTCTCCTGGGACTTTTTGTTCCAGTCATTGGATTGAATAGAGCTTTGGATCCCCAAAGCAGGTAAAGCCAAAATCACAAGATATTGTTCTTTAAACCAATAGATTGGCCATGGTAAGTCTTTGTAAATGGGTTCAGACCATAATCACCATACTGGTAAGAAGTGTCTTGTGGCGTGTGTTCTTAGACAGGATATTTACTTTCTAAACCTTTAGGGCTTGTTCACACCAAATGCAGACCAGATCTTCATGAGTTTCTGCACAGGCAGTGCCGTGGGTTGTGCTGCGTTTTTGATGCGTTCCGGGCTGTTTTTGGTAAAAAAATAAATAATATTTATTTTTTCTAACCTACAAATGGGCTTTCAGTGCGTTCTAGGGCGTTTGCATGCATTTTTGATGCATTTGCATGTGTTCCAGAGCGTTTCAGAGCAGGTAAAATAGTGCTTGCTGCAGTTTTTTTACATGCTCTGGAACTGAATGCTGCGGTGTGAACTAGACCCCAAAGTAACATTGGAATACATTGGACGCAGTTTTGATCCGGTCTGTAAGTGCTCTGCTCCTGGAACGTGCTTGGTGTGAACAAGGCCTTAGGCCTCATTCATACAAACATGAACAGACATACAGCATCCACACCCATAGAGAGACCTGCACCCAGGGGAGACAAATGCTGCGTGCAGCCACGTGCAACCACCTGTACATCTCCATGGCAGAACGCGGTTGCACCCGGCTACCTGGAGACCCGAACTTGCACATCCATACAGGCATAGATGCACGCCCTTAGACTCAGACTGTTTGTGTCCAAGGGGACAGGTCTCTCCACTGATGTGCATTCTGTACAGCTGTGCATATCTATGTTAATAGATATACATTGCCCAGTGGAAAGTCATGTACCACCAGTGGTACCTGGTCCACATCCAATCTATCAAACTTCAGCTTCTTATCTTACTATTTTTCTGTTTCTTTGCAGATCAGCTATTTCTCCACGAGTTCCCTTCTAAGTGACAGAACACAGTTCCCATCATTCTTTAGGACTGTTCCCAGCGACACATTTCAGTCTCGTGGACTGGCTCAGCTAGTTTCTTTGTTTGGTTGGACATGGGTAGGACTGATAGCCGAGGACACCGACTACGGACAGGAAGGCATTCGAGCCACTAAGTCAGAGATCCTAAAATCTGGGGCCTGCATTGCATTCACAGAGTACATCCTCACTAGCCGCCTCGATCGAAATGCCCCACGACTTTCAAAAGTCATTGCGGAGTCCAGTGCTACTGCTGTGGTCATCTTTTCCAGCGGGTCGAACCTTCTCCCGGTAGTGGAGGAACTCTTGAAACAAAACATTACAGGGAAAACTTGGATAGCAAGTGAGTCATGGTCAACATCAGCCTTGGTCTCCAAGGAAAAGTACTGGAGCGTTCTCCAGGGAACCATTGGCTTTGCACTGCACAGCGGTCAAGTTCCAGGATTCAAAGACTTCCTTATTGCCGCTAATCCCAAGAAGACCCCGGATGACTTTTACCTGAAGGAATTTTGGGAAGTGAACTTTGGCTGCAAGTGGGAAACTCCAGGGGCAATTCTCTCCAACAGCACTAAAAAATGCACAGGTCAAGAACCTCTTGGAAACACTTTCAGCAGTGTTTTGGTGCTGAGGGTCACCTACAGTGTTTACATTGCAGTTTATTCTCTGGCCTGGGCACTGCACAATATGTTAAATCTTAGGTTAAAAGCTTGTCCTGCACCACCGGAAAAATGCCAAAAGCCATTGTCTTTTCGTCCTTGGGAGGTATTACTTTAAGGTTGTAGCTGTAATTTAGCTGATACAATTCAAGGTTTGACTAATAACCGAAACACGTTCGGCTACTCACTTCGGCTCAGTACGGCTGATTTCAACTATACATCGGCTAAAATCAGCTGTATCGGCTGGTTTTGGTCAACTGAAGATGTTCGGCTCAGCCGATCCAACATCTGGATCGAAGCTCCGGTAGTTCACTCGCTGCCGTTCGCCCCTATTCTCATAAGGGCCGGACGGCAGTGAGTGAATAGCCAAATGCTGTCGAGTGGCATTCGACTCGGCTTTTCTGCTCGCTACCTCTGAGGTAGTGAGAAAAATAAAAAAAATTATAAAACAAAAAAAAAATGTTAATATGTTATTTATATTTTTTAAAAAAAAGAAAAATGTAAAAAAAAGTTAAGAAAATAATAAAAAACTAAAAAAAACAAAACTGTCAGGCATCCCCCTCCTAAACCATACCAGACCCTTTAGGTCTGGTAGGAAATTAAGGTGGGACCCCTATTTAAAAAGAAAAGTGTGGGGTTCCCCCCTAAAGTCATATCGAGCCCTTAAGGTTGGTATTTTAAGGAGGAACACCACCACCGAAAATGGAGAAAACAAAACCGTGGGTTCCCCCTAAAATTCCCAACCAGACCCTTGATCCGAGCACAGGCCTGGCAAATTCCCACAAGCCCTGGGGCATTGGTTGTGGGGGGTGCGGGCAGTGGAGCTTATTTGCATCATGGTACCCCTTTAATAAAGGGGCACCCAGATGTACTTCCCTTGTGAATGAGTACGTTTACATGACACTGCAAGTGCACGTTGTTTTGCTGTACTGGCCGCTTAATATATTGTGAATTTGCTATACTCATCATTTAGAGCCCATTCAGACCACTATTGTTGCCTATAGAGTCAGGAAGTACAAGTACTTGTCAAAATGCCCTGTTTTTCCACCCTCACCCTGCAGCGCCCTCAGGCGGCCGCCTGACTTGCCCTGCGGTAGCGCTGGGCCTGTATAGAGTGCATTAATGTGCGCTAAATGCACTTAAGTCAACATGACCCTGTTATGGTGGAAAGGAAATAAGATAAGTTAATAACAATGGAAATAAGTTAGTGACGTCAATATTGTCCAGTGATATGATGGAGGGACGTCTTCCTATATTGTATTACCCGGTAATGTTTACTTCTTTATTCTCATCAGGTTCTGCACGGAATGAAATTGGTTCGTTTTACCACAAAAGATGACAGAGAGGTTTATTTTGACATGAATGGGAATCTTCCGGCCATGTACGACATTGTGAACTGGCAAATGGGCGCACAGGGAGGAGTACAGCAGATAAGAATGGGAAGCTATAATGGCAGCGCTAGGGAAGGAAATAAATTCACAGTCAACCCCACAGCCATCCAGTGGGCCAGAGGGCAGACACAGGTAAAGACTGGACAGAGTAATTAAAGCGGGCCTTTACCCCCTTTGACCAGAAATCACATCAGTATGCAGCTCCGTATTTTGATAGGAAATCCTCTCACATTAATTAGCTAAACAAACATATTTTTATTTAACTTACAATTTCTTTTTTTCCTCTTACTGGTCCACTTTGGCACAAATGATGTAATCGCATTGCATCCTGGGAAGGTTACATCAGCAGAGCATTGCTGGGAAGTCTCATCTGAAATCTCATGAGATCTCAGGGAAAGGCATTTTCCTCCCCCGGAGATGGTGTGCATGGTCACATGTCCTGGTCACATGCGCCAGAGTTCCAGGAAGTGAAGGGAGTAACCTGCCCTTAGTTAAAGTGGCCGCTGCCAGAAGACTGGGGAAGAAAATAAAAATAAGGTCTGCAAAAAATTTAAAGCCTGCAGTTTTTGAAGTATCTGTTTGTAGATTGTCATTACTAAACATTTCTAAAAGTGTGTGTGTGGTTATTTTTTAAGATATGAGTAAAGTTCCTCTTTATGGTGTTTACCAAAAGTGGGAATAAAGACAAAAATCTAAATTAACCTCTGACCCCATCAGACAGAAATACCAAAGATCAAGGGGACTGGCCTATTGTCAGAGATACCGTGCACGGGTGTCCCCACACCGCGTACAGGTATCTCTACGGGAGGACCAAATATGTGACCACACCAGGCAATGCTTATAAGGACACAGTTTATTCAGGACAGCGAATACAAGTATCCACAAGCAAATAATAATAATCAACTAAATGCAAACACAAGCACATACAAAAAAGGTAACAGGGCACGTTATCCTGGGGAGCAAAGTAACACAAGGGGAGCCAAGGAACAAAGGTCGAGGAACAAGGAGGCAACAGGACGCAGGCGACAGGGTACAGGATGCAGGATTTAATACGCTCCCAGGTAGCACCAGGTGATGATTAATCGCTGACGGCTGGGAGACACCCGTAGATGAGCACTGGACTTGCAGGTTCCAGCACCACCCAGTGGTGGTCTGTTACCTCACAGCTCCTGGCTGCCCGGAGACACCTGCAGGTGAGCACAGAGACTGCAGGACCTGGCGCCACCTTGAGGTGCTATGGTCCCTGACACCTATCTTCTCCAGCAGAAGTTAGGTAGATAGAAACTCTTTCTGAATAGGAACTTTCTGATCCCTTACAATCAGGTCATTCATTCACACATGTACCCTATTGGCTCTTGTTATAGGGGTTTCCACGTTTTCTATGCTGACCTTGAACTGCTTTGCTGAATAAAATATTTATGCGCACAAGGGAGGAAATAAGGACCTATAGGTTTCAACAGTTAGAGATAGAAAGTCCGAAAGTAAACAGCTTCCGTCGTGTTTTCTCTTTAGGAAACCCCAATGCTCTGTGACAATGGCAAAGTTCCTTTACACACTCATTGAGTATTAGGAACACTATACTATGACACGGTTGGGTCTTTCTTTGATCTGAAAACAGCCTCAATTCCAAATTCCACAATCATTCCTTTAGGATTCTGGTGCCTGATGACCATCGCACAATTTATGCAGATTGTTTCGCATACCAAAATTTTCTATTGGATTCAGATTTAACTGGCCTTCTATCTGTGGCCCTCAGCAGGAATCAGGATTCATCAGACCAGGCTACATTTTTCTAGTCTTGAATTGTCCAGTTTTGGACAGCCTGTGCCCACTTCAGCCTCAGCTTATTGTTCTTGACTGACAGGAGAAGAACCCAATGTGGTCTTCTACTGTTGTAGCCCACCCGCCTCAAGGCTGGACATGTTGTACATTCCGAGATACTTTTCTGCTCACCATAGTTGCATAGAGCAGTTATCAGAGCTATTGGGGACTTTCTGTCAGCTCAAACCAGTCCGGCCATTTACTTCTAACCTGTCTCATCAGTAAGGAGGTTTTGCTGACAGAACTGCCCCTCGCTAGACGTTTTTGTTTTTCGCACCTTAAATTAGTTAATTCTAGAGACTGTTGTGTGTGAGAATCCCAGGAGATCAACAATACAAGAAATACTCACACCAGCCAGTCTGACACCAACAATCATGGCACTCAAAGTCTCTGAGATCATATTTTTTTCTCCATTCTGGTGTTTGATGGGAATATGAACTGGAGATGCTGACCCACATCTGCATGATTTCAGGCATTGCCCTGCAGCTGATTGGCTGATTAGACAATCACATTAAAAAAACATATTCGACCTTAAATTGAACCCAAACCATTATAGTTTAAATCAGAGCCGTAGCTAGCTCCTTTTGCGCCCAAGGCAAGAACAGAAAATTGTGCCCCCTAACAGACGTGTGACATCACCCAGTCCAGGATTATTTAAATTTTTTTTATTTACTGTTAGCGGGGCTTTGGGGAAATATCTGGGGTCTAAACAGACCCCTGGCATTTTCCTTTTGAAACAGAAAAAGAAAATGAGGACACAGAGTTCACAATCTCTTTTTCGGCAGACTCTATTCTAAAATGAATGGGAAGCACTCAGTACAAAGGCTTCCCATTCATTCAGAAACTGGTGATAGTAAAACATTTACTATCATCAAGTTATGAATGGGTAGAATCTCCATTCAGAAACTCATGAATGAACAGGAAGTGATGTAAAGCACTTCCTGTTTATTCATAACTGGGGACACAGAGTACTATGTGTCCCCAGTTGTTTACAAACATTGGAGTAATCAGCTGAGCATATCAGATATTTACCTATCCTATGCTCACCATCCTGAGCCGCTCGTCCACGCACAGAGGGGTGGCACAGCCTGCAGCTTCTCCTTGAAACTCTGCTGCTCTTCTCCGCCTGTATGGGCAGGGGCATCGATGATCCAAGGAGAAATGAAGCGCTGAAGCCGGTGGGGGGGGGGCGGAGGAGGGAATGTTGTAATTTCAGGATTGCCGAGTGGTAAGGAAAAAGAGAGCCAGATCCTGGCTAAGCGGCCCTCTCTCTCCTCACTGCTTGACCATCCTGGATGACAGCTCCCTACTCTGCCCCACTCAAAGCCGGCTTCAGCACTCCATTTCCCCTTGGATCCCCGCTGCATCATCTGCCCATACAGGAGGGGGGACTTGAGGAGAAGCTGTAGGCTGTGCCCCTCCACTCTTCTCCCTGCCACGCTGTGTTGGTCATCTCCCCATACAGGAGGGGGCACCTGAGGAGAAGCTGCAGGCTGAGCCGCCACTCTTCTCCCTGCCACGCTGCGTTGGCCCCCAGGCACCCCTTTCCCAATGGTGCCCTGTGCTCGCCATGGCAGCAGGGGCGAGGGGGCACAGCCAGGCCAGTTCACTCGCCTCGCCCTAGCTACGGCCCTGGTTTAAATAGATGGCACCTATCCTAACCTTTACCCCAACACTTGACACACCAAATTACTTATATTCATATACACCTCTCTCCTTTTCATTTATTGCACTCGGTTCCTGTCTTTCCTAGGTTCCGGCCTCAGTCTGTAGCCTCAGTTGTCCTCCTGGCTTCAGGAAAACCGCCATACCAGGAAAGCCGGTGTGTTGCTTCCAGTGTGTGCCTTGTCCACAGACCGATATTTCTAATCAGACAGGTATTCTGCCTTTTCTCTTACAGGGTACATCATGAGTGTTTTTAGTATAGCAACAGGGTCACTTTAAAGCTCAAATCCAGCCATAAACTTTTACATTTATCATTTTGATCGGAAGAATTAGAACTTTTGACAGGTTTTAAATGTTATCTGTAACCCCATTGAGAATTTAAAACCTGGTTTTAAAGTCCTTCATTGTCCCCAATAAAGAGACTTCACCCTCACTTCGTATTCTACCTGAACCTGTTACCTTAATGGGGAGTGATGGGATATCTAAATAATGGGGATATAATCCTAAAATACTCTCCAAACCTTCCTGACTCTACCCAAAAACATGTTTTATTGTTATCTGTGTTTTAGGAGGTTTGAAGAGATTTCCTCTGTTTTCTTGTTCTCTCTGACTCCCACAACCTGGACAGGAACAGTTATTTCCCTGTGCCTATTGGAATCATTCAACGTCTCTGTTTGCCTTGGTGATCATTGTAACAAAGTGATAAGACATCCAAAACATGGCAGTTATAATCAGTACAGGAGGTGAGGGGAAATCTTCCAATGGGGACAGCTGTCTAAGAGGGTATTTCCCTTAACTTTAGAGAGCTTCCCACTTCTGATGTCTCCAGGACATGAAACTGAAGACAAATCTCCACAACAGGACACTTGACAGAGGTTCTCATTATCATCCTCTACCATCCACTTAAAAAATTGCTGAAGACACACTTTAAACTAATCAGTTTTATCATAATTGGAACCATGACTGAAGTCAAACACAGAATTGAAATTCTCCACAATTTCTTCATGGAGTACACAACAAGGTCAGGGTCTAGTTGTTAAACTTCTTAAAAACTCTCAGACTTTTTGGACTGTACAGGACGCCAGGAATGGGTCCTGGATGGACGATATATCCCTACCTTGTTTAGGTGGTGGTCCCGTTAAGGTCACCTTGTATTCAGGGTTGTCGCCAAGCAGGGTGAGGGGTTTCCGGGTCGGACTTGTAAGGGAAACTGCTAGGCAGTCTTCCCAGATTTGTTAATAATACATGGGTCCCGGAATCCAGAGGCTCAGACAGATTTTTGGGTGGGACAGAGCCTCCTTGTTTGACAACAGCCAGTTCTGGTAATGAAAGGGTTAACCCACCAGCCAGATGGTGTGTTATAAAGGAACAGGAAGCAAGTCAGTCTGGATCTGTGAGGAGTGTTTGGAGCAGGACACATGGCTGTGTGTGTATTAACCTGTGGAATACCGTCTACCGAGACACTGCTGGGGCACCTGTGTCCATACTGGAACAGTCTGGGACTCTAACCCTGAGGCTGGGACTCTAACCCTGAGGCTGGGACTCTAACCTTGAGGTGGGACACTAACCTTGAGATGGGACTTGGTATATAGTGCTGAGCCGAATCTTGTATTTGCTGACAATAAGCCCTGTTGATTTTGTCATTCTGTTGAATATAAGCCATTTTTATTTGATTGTTTGTGGAATAGAATAAAAGTTTATTTGCTGATACGACTGGCTACGGGTCATATCCGCCCTGAATATTACAAGACACATATTTTTAATATGGCAATTGTGTTCCTTCTTTTGTTAGATGCAGTCGACTGCTTCAGATGCCCTTGGGACCAGTGGCCAAACGTCCAACAAAATGAATGTCTCCTGAAAGCTATTGAGTTTCTTTCCTTCGAGGAGCCATTGGGAGCCACACTGGTTGCCACAAGCGTCACCTCCTCCACCATCCCAGTTGCCATCTTGGGACTCTTCATCCGCTACAACACTACTCCTATTGTCAGAGCCAACAACTACTTTCTAAGTTGTCTTCTCCTCCTGTCGTTGTCTCTCTGCTTCCTCTGTTCTTTAACACTCATTGGCTATCCACAACCAGAAAAATGTCTTCTACAGCAAGTGGCTTTCGGCATGGTTTTCTCATTGTGTGTCTCCTGTGTCTTAGCAAAAACCATCACGGTCGTTATAGCCTTCAAGGCTACCAAACCCGACAGCAGCTTGAGGAAATGGACTGGGGCAAAAGTGGGATACCACATTATCAGTTGTTGTGTTTTTATACAGCTGTGTTTATGTATAACATGGTTGTCCAGTTCTCCGCCCTTCCCACAATATGATGTCAGCCAACCAGAAGTTATAATCGCCAGTTGTAATGAAGGATCCCCGACGGCCTTCTGGTGTATGCTTGGGTACCTGGCTCTCCTGGCCTTTATCAGTTTTGTCCTTGCCTTCCTGGCTCGAAGGCTACCAGATAGTTTCAACGAGGCCAAATTTATAACCTTCAGTATGTTGGCCTTCCTGAGCGTCTGGGTGTCCTTCATCCCAGCGTATCTCAGCACTCGTGGCAAGTACTCGGTTGCAATGGAAATCTTTGCCATCTTGTCTTCCAGCTGGGCTCTGGTTATTTGTATCTTTGTGCCCAAGTGTTATATTATTCTGTGCAGGCCGGAGCTGAACACCAAAGAAAGTCTGATGGGCAGAGGGAAAAAATAACTTGTACTAAAGCACACTTGTATTTTGAAGGAACTAAAAAGTCACGAAATGTTCTATAGTGATTAAGAATAATTTATTTTGTTTTTTCAGATGTTTTTAATGGAGTTCTGTCAAGACGTAAAAAGAAAATAATAAACTTTAACCCAAGATACAAAACCTGTGACTTTTTATTTTTTAAGTATACACATCAAACAAGCCATGTTGGTATCTCCAACAACACAGAGGAACATGAGGAACCAACCACAACCCTATGAAGGTCATTAAACAGTTTAACCTCCTGCCGTCCGCCCATTGTAAAAAAAACGGGTGGACGGCTGATGCTTCCCGGCAGGTGGACATACACGTACGTGATAGCGGGCACGCGTGAGCAGAATCCCGTCGGGAATGTGAACAGCCGTTACTGGCTGTTATATACAAGCGTTTGGCCAGGTCTACAGGCAGCTGATCGCTTGTATAACCATGCACAGTGCATGCCCCCCCTGCTGCCGCTGCCATTTGTCCCAGGCACCGCTGTCCCCCCTGTGTGCCTGGGAACAAGAACACCGGCACAGCGGCTACCAGTACTGAGGAGGAGAGATCAGCATTCCCCCACCGCTGATCTCTCCTCCTCTCTCTCTAAAGGCGGAAGCGATGTGTACTATACATCACTTCGGCCTTTAGCTGTCATTTCCCTGGCAGATCTCTGCTTCATCAGCTTCTTTGGGGGTCACCAGGGGACATTAGCTCCACCTGTAGCGGAGGGGCATGACATTAAAAAACACATCAGGATGGTGAGTGACGAGAGATGGAGGAGTGTACTGTGAGGAATGAACCCGGAAGCGCTCAGCTCTATGCACTTCCGATTTCAGTTCCCGGCTAGGGGAGCCAAGTGAAGCAGCAACAGATCAGGGTTTCCTGAGTGCGAAAACAACCCCTTTGTCTCCATAAAGAGTACCTGTCACTCAAAAAGTGCTATCACATAAGGCATTCATCAGCATGCATATGTGCTTGTGTAACGGAGGGGGGGGGCTTTAAAAAGAATGTGTTTT